CATCAAAATGTTTGGCCAGCTTGCTTGCTTGCTTGCGCCTCTTCCGCTTCGCCCCGAAACAACCAATAGTCTTCCAAGATGTTCCAACCATTGCCCGAGAAGGCCCGACGACGGCCCGAGACGCCTCCATGACAGGCCAAGAGGCCTTTAAGACGGCTCCAAAAGGGTGCCCAAATGGAGAACCCAAACAAACATTTCGAGCCCTCGCCCCCGAAAAGCTCCCAGGAGACCCCGAAAAGGCTTCCAAAATGCCCCGAAGAAAGCCCCAGGAAACCCATGGAGGCCCCCAAGAAGCTGCTAAGAGGTCGGGGCACGAGCCAAGGCACCCCCGGGCTCGCGCGGTGCCGGCGGCCAGGAGGCTTCCGATATCCGCGCGTGACAAAACGCCGAAACATGCGATGTACCGTGGTGCTGGTTAAACTCATGTTGCTCCACCTCTTCCGTTTCCGTTCTCCCGCCCAACTCCCCCCCTTTTCTCAAACTTGCCTCTAAGTTCGTCCTCTCTTGAAGGGTGAAAGTGGGGGTCGGGTGCAGGGTTTCCGCTAAGGTGTCTCTATGGGCTATGCATGGGCGATACATCCTCGATTGATGTGTTCGGCGGGGGAACAAATTGAAGCTCCACGCCTGCACCCATGCGCGAGACTTCAAGGTGAACGAAGCAAGGCAGCGGGGGGCTCGGGAAAAACGACGAAGGCAACGTGCGCTGCGGGCGCAACATGAAAAAGGTCGGAATATACGAAAGCGGTGAGGTGAATGCCAAAATCTCCCCAGCCAATCTGACACGCGGAATACTGCGCCTCAGTTATGGAGATCTAGAGGACCAGAGCAAACTGAGGCTTCTCATTGAGGGGAACAGCAACATGTGCATTTACATTTTGGGAAAAAGGAAAATGTGAATTCACAGTGTGATGAAACAAGAAAATGTGAATTCACATTTTGGAACGTTGCATCGGAATCTTTGCGAATGTGAATTCACATGTTGGGAAGAAGGAGCATGTGAATTCACATGTTGAGAAGTCGCGTCGAGGCTGGGCCCGCGCTTACGCAGGGCACTGCCGTCGACAGGCGCGGGCCCAGGCCTGGCGGTGGTGGGAGCGCGAGTCGGCGTCGCGGAGCCGAGCAACCTCGCCGACGTCCCCCCCTCGCCGAGCCCTGGGTCAGCCCAGCCTCGACACGCCCAGAGCCGCCGCGACTCCGCCACGCTCGCGCAGCAGGGTCGGGCGGGCGGGAAAACGCATCCCCGAATGCGGGGCGGCCAGGCGAATCCCGAATCGCGAAAGCCTGCGCCGCGGACGCGCCCGCGGGCGCGCAGGAGGGGGATTCGCCTCAGCCAACGCTAGCCGCCCCGCAGCATCGGATGAGCAAGAAGAATAGCGTGACAAAGGCCGAACACACCGCCGCGACTTCTCCCCGCGCCCAAGAGCTGCCCAGGGCGCCCGCGAGAAGTCGCGTCGAGGCTGGGCCCGCGCTTACGCAGGGCACAACCGTCGACAGGCGCGGGCCCAGGCCTGGCGGTGGTGGGGGCGCGAGTCGGCGTCGCGGATCCGAGCAACCTCGCCGACGTCTCCCGACGCGTGCTGGGCGGAACGACGCCCGCGCACGCACCGTGCAGACTGCAGATGCTTGGTCTGCTTCCCTCGCGGCCTGGGCGACCCCTGCACTGCTTCCGCGGCGATCGGCGCGTCCTGCGCGCCAAGCGCCGCCGCGGAGCCCCGACCCCGATGCCTGCAGGGCGGCGCCTCGTCGGAATCAGAGTGCGCGATTTCCGCCTCGGCCGCTAGCACCATGGCCTTCGTCTTTGCTGCTGGGTACCTGCGCTTCATAACGCGCCGTGCCATCGCGGCCCGGGCAGCGAGGCCGCGCCCACCACCCACGCGGTGCCCGAACGCGGCCACTGACTTCCAGCCGCCCAAACAACGCCGCCGGCCCCCCGGCGCGGAGTGCCTCGCGCGCGAGCGGCCCGGGCCGCGTGCAAGCTCGGGCATGCAGGATATGGGGCCCCGCCTGGTCGGCGCGGCCGCGCCGAAAGCAATGCGCCCCCCACTCCAGTGCGCGATGGAGCCCCAGGTGGGCAGCGGCGAGCCTGACGCAAGCCAGCCCGCCCACGTAGGTGGCGCCAGGCAGGAGCTGTTCGCCGGGGCGAACCTGGCGCCTAACAATGCATGCGGAGCACAGTCGCTTGCCCTGGAGCTGGCACACACATGCCCTCCAGACCTTCGCGAAGCGGGCCCCTGGCGCGACCCCGCGGCGCGCGCGCGCGCGAGCGGCCCGCCGGGCCTGGCGCCATCTTGCTTTTACGGCGGCGGAATTGCACCTGCACCTGGTGCTTCCCTTCGCCCTGGTGGAGCGAAATCACGCCATGTGCTGGCGCATTCAGCCCCGCCACTTCGGAGCCGAAGCGCAAGCAAAACTGCCAGCAGATGACGAATGCGTCGGCCATGTCGCCGCGCTCCATCTGCCGACCGCAGGGCGCGCCGGTCGGCGCGCGCGGCCCGCCGCCCGATGGCCGCGCGGCCGTGCCTCGCGCAACCAATCTGCCATCGCGCGGACGTTGTCCGCCGTGGCGCGCGCGCGAACCCTTTGCGCGCCAGGCGGCCCCGCCTTCCGACGGACTCGCGGAGCTTCTGGGCGGCGCGCGCGGTGGCCACACCTTCCGGGCGCCGAACGCCAGGACCCGCGCATCCGCCGGGGGCCCCGTGTCTGCGCGGAGCAAATGCAGCACAGATCGTATGCCTCGCAAATAACGTGACAGAGTACCCGGGTGGCGGCAGAGCGCCACCATCACGTCCCTTGTGATTGCGCGCGGCGGCCAGGGTGAGGCCCCGGCCGATTCGCACGCTTGGCCGTATAATTCAATCGCTGAGGCATGCGGATAACCCCAGGAAGCATTTAAGAACCCCCCCGGCGATATCTTAGCACCGCATTTTTATTCGATATTCCGAGGGGCCGAAATAACCGCACGATAGGTTTAGCATCCGGACACGCAACAAATTCGCGGAGGCCTGGCCCCTGGGCTACAATCGAAATTCGAAGTTCAAATCTGCGTGGCTCTCATGAAAGACTCAGGATGTCGCTTGCTGCTTGGAAAATTCATGCAATGATAATAGTATTAATATTCGCAAGCATATTTGATGACACCTAAGTTCGTGGGTGGAGGAGAGGAGGAGGAGGAGGAGGAGGATGAGGAGGGGAAGGAGGAGGGCTCCTGGTGCCAGGTAACGCTTCCAGGGTGCGGAAGGGTTATCGATTTGCCGGAAGGGGGGGGGGCCTTAAATGCTTCCTGGGGTTACGCCGAGAGCTTCCACGCGTGGAACTCTCTCCACAGCGCGGCCATCTGGATGCGGCGCATGCGCTCCAGCCCTGTTCCCGACAGCCGCAACTCTTCGGCACGCCGACGAAGTGCGCCTGGCAACCCACCGCGCGCGGATGACAGATCTTGCGCGCACCCCGTGGATTCTTCCGCCGTCGCATTCGAATATTACGGGCGGCGTTTGGAGCTTCGTCAACTGGCGGATCGCCTCTGCCAGTAGCGACGGCGCTGGCACCTCTGCGCCGAACGCGGCGCACGGGGCCCGCGGCGCCGTGACGCGGTGCCTGCTGTGCCTGCCGCGCCGCCGAAAGTAACGCAAGTGCATATTGAGGGGTCGATGCCGCGCCAGGCCGGCGCGTCGCCCGCAAGCCCGGAGCCGGCGCCGGGCGCTTGGCGGCCTCCTCGATTATTACTTCCGCCGCCTTTACAACCGCGGGCCCCGCGCGGCGGCCAGGCGTTCCCCTACCTCGGTGGGTAAGGTGGCGCCGCGCGCGCAACCTGGGATAACGCTTCCGCCGCGTTCTCCCGCGGTCGCTTCGCTTTATCATGGACCATTCTCCGTGCACGCGCGACAAGGAAACGTGAATACGCATGTTGGAAGAATCGCGGGCCCCATTTCAAATCTGTCTTGTGGGTCGACAAGTCATCGTTTGGGAACGCACGCGATCATCAATCGCACAATCAAAACACACTTGCACTCCACTTCGCCGCCCCAAGCGCGATATGCAAGAACGCCTGCGCGCATTAACGGTCATGGATTGACGGCGCGTTGCCCGCGCGGGCAACGCGCGGGCACGAGCGATCGGCCTCCACGATCGCCAACATTGAATGCCAATCATACCCGAATCCATACATGAGCGATACATTGAGCATACGTGGGCACTTCAGCCCTCATTGGAGACCCCCTGTTGCAGACCCCCTCTTTCACCCTCCAAGTCTCTCATCCTCAGATCCGTGGTTCTTTGTTGAACCCGGTCGGGCGAAATAAAACGCATCGCCATGCGACGCCCGATTACTGTCGCCGACGTCAACATTCCTAACGCGTGCCCGCCTGATGATTGCAGTCTCTCTCTCCCGGATGGCACTATTTGCGCGGGGGGCGTTTCCTCCTGCTCCTCTTCACCTATTCCGCAAACGATTCCAATCCTTTCCCCCTGCCCTCATCCTCTTTCTCCACCTCCTGCTCCTCCTTCTCCTCCTCCTCCTCTTCCGTCTCCTCCTCCTTTCCTCCAGAGGCAATGCGAACGGCACAAACATAAATGATCGGAGCCTCGTGCGGAGATCTTGGATCGGTGCTGTGGACCCTCCTGCTTGGCGCGCGGAGGAGCGCCGGAGACGCCGCCAGGGGTGCCCAACGCCGGTCCGAAAACGCCGCCCAGAGCCCCGCAAGTCTACGGTAATGAAGCTACTATTTTTTCCCACGACTCCCCCTCCCACTCTCCCTCCTCCTCCCCCTCCCACTCTCCCTCCTCCCCTGCCCCTCTCCCTCCTCCCATGCCCCCCTCCCTCCTCCTCCCCCTCTCTCCCTCCTCCTCCCCCCTCCCTCCCTCCTCCTCCTCCTCCTCCTCCTCCTCCTCCTCCTCCTCCTCCTCCTTCTCCTCCTCCCTCCCTTCCCCCCTCCCTCCCTGCGCGCCCGCCGACGGGGCTGGGCTGTGGCCACCCGCAAAGTGCGACTCCAGCGCGCCAGGCGTCACTGTGCTGCAGGGCGGCGGTTCTTTCTTTTCGGCCGCGGGGGGGGGGCGCCCAGAACGGGAATCGATAATCTAGGAGGAGGAAGAGGAGGAAAAGGAGGGTCAGGAGGGTGAGGAGGAGGAGGAGGAGGAGGAGGAGGAGGAGGAGGAGGAGGAGGAGGAGGAGAAGGATGATGATGAGGAGGAGGAAGAGGTGGACGAGGAGGGGAAGGAGGACGCGGAGGAGGATGAGGATGAGGAGGATGAGGAGAGGGGAGAGGAAGGGGGGAGGAAATCGGCGATGAGGAGTAGGAGCAGGAGGAGGAGGAGGAGGAGGAGGAGGAGGAGGAGGAGGAGGAGGAGGAGGAGCAGGAGGAGGAGGAGGACGACGAGGAGGAAAAGGTCAATCACGATGAAAACTGATGATAATATGTGCGGGCCCTTTCGGCTGAGCGCAGGTTGGTATGGAATGTCTAACACGACGCTAATGAAGACACGGATACACGGCTGGCGACCTGGACCCAAATGGCAGCTGGAAGAAATATTATCCCAGTGCGACCCGACCTAGGTGTTGGAGCCTCTTAGGAAAACAACATAAGCTAAGCTAAGCTAAGATAGGATAGCTAAGCTAAGCTAAGCTAAGTTAAGCTAGGCTAGTATGAAATAAGCTAAGATAGCTAAGCGAAGCTAAGCTACGCTAGGCTAAGCTAAGCTGGGCTAGGCTAGGCAAAGCTAAGCTAAGCTAAGATGAGATAAGCTAAGCTGAGATAAGCTAAGCTAAGCTAAGCTAAGCTAGGCTCAGCTAAGATAGGCTAAGGTAAGCTAAGGTAAGATGAGATAAGCTAAGCTAAGCTCACGTATGGTAATATAAGCTAGGCTAAGCTATGCTAGGCTAGGCTAAGCCGAGCTAAGACAGACTAAGCTAAGCTAAGAAAAGGATATGCACAGCTAAGATAAGCTGAGCTAGAAGGTACGCTAAGGTAAGGTAGGCTAAGCTAAGCTGAGCTGAGCTAAGCTAGACTAAATTAGGCTAAGATGAGATAAGCTGAGCTAAGCGTACGCTATGCTATGCTGCGCTATGCTGTGCTATACGGGGCTTTGCTCTGATATGCTGTGTTGCGCTGTGCTGTGCTGCGCTCTGCTATGCTGTGCTGTGCTGTGCTATGCTAAAGCTCGGCGAAGCTAAGGCGAAGGTAAGCTAAGCTAAGATAGAACTGAGCTAAGATGAAGCTAAGCTAAGCTAAGACGAAATAAGATCTGCTAAGATGAGATAGGCAACGCGAAGCTAAGGGAACGTCGCTGGTGGAACCGCGGGGCGGATCCTGGGGGAACCGCCCGGGGCGTTTTCCACTGCCCGGCCCCTTTCAGCTTATAAAGTAAGAACACTTCTAGGCAGAGCCTAAGTAGGGAATTATTGACGAAGGAGAAGAAGACAGGAACAGTAAGTCGGCTACCGTTCGGGTCTGGTGTTCATGTGGGTGTGCCGGTGCACGCCAGCTGCAGCACGCAAGCGGTGCGGCAACCAACGGAACCTCATAAACAGTTGAAACGGGATGGGAAGCTCCGTTTCTGGCGCACTCCGACAAATGTCGGACTTCAAGTCGTTCCACGGCACCTTGGCCTGCAATGTGCCAGGCCCCCAAAAAACACATGTTCAACGGCGCGCGAGGAAGGAGCGACATCTACTCCCGTCGGAGTTCCTAGAGCAAGCCGAAGCATACTTATGCAAGTCGCGACTGGAGACACGGCTGTACAAGGACATTCTACTGACCAGGCCCCCTTTGGAACATTGCAAAGGAACGAGGAGAGCATGCGACTGAAGGAGAACAGGGGCACGATAAACGCGCTGCACGCCAGAACGTTTGCTGCTCCACGAACTCTTCCACGAACGCAATTCATGGTAACTGCCCATCACTCGAATGACTCACCAGATCGTATGTGCGAACGTAGCTCGCCAAATGCGGGCGTTATCTCATGTGCCCTGCTACGTCGCATGCGCGAACATAGTTCTCAACGTGCGGCTGTCTTTGCCTCCCCCATGTGTCGCAGTCGCAAACGGATTTCGCGACGTGGAACCGCCGACATGGCCCGTCAGGGCGTAGCTGCCTGAACATCCAGCCCGTTGCGGAGACTGCGGGTGTCATGTTCTGCGACCGCAGTACATGTAGCCAAACTTCGCGCTGTTTATCCCATCGGTGAAACTTTCTCCTCATTCGCCCTGAGGTCGCAGTGGCGGGAGCTGGGCACGGTCTTCGTGCGCTCCTCGTTGCTCAGTCAGACCGCGGCGTGGTCGTAGTTAAACTTCCCGCGCATCACGTCCAATATCAGTTCCCACCCAATGCCCCCCTTCGTCATGGGGCCGGCCTTCATAGCACGAGTATCGCACCAAACCATGTCCATGACCTGCATTGGTGCGGAGCTGGTCGGAGAACCACATACGGAATCCTGCCATGCTGCGCCCTGACGGTGGACGCGCAGGATCCATGGCGATGGCCGCGAAGACGGAAATCCCGTCCACGACTAGGGCTGCTGGCACGGCGTAGCCCCCCTCCTCTCTCAACTTTTTGATCTCTTCGGCTGAGACTGGGTCCCGGATCATTCCGTGGAGCGCGATGGGGGTGGGCCTGCAACCCATCGGCGGCGCCGCGCGCTGCGAGAAACTCAGAGCCGAACGAAAGCCTACGCGCAAATGTGTGTGAGCGGCCCACGGTATCGAGCAAGCGAAAGTCCTCATGGCCAGTGCTACAACACGTGCCGAGGCGCATGTTATAGGCGCCCCTCATGCCGCACCCAGTCTCCTCCCCCCTCTTGAAGAACCCCCCGCTGTGCGCGCATATCTGGCCAGCGCGTTCCATGGCAGGAAAGGCGGCGCGCGCCTTGATCTTCTGCATGGCAACGGCGACGGAATGGAATTGCATGGCGTGCTGAGCTGCGTGATGCGTCGTATACACAACATGTGTTTGGCCTGTTGTACCGCCGCGATGCACGTTGCGACGCGGCTCTGGGCGAGCACGGCGTAGACGATTGCTCCCGGCAAGGACACGAAAAGGGTTGTCGGGAGCTGACCTCCTGAGGGCTCGTGGGCCATGGTTTTGACCAGGTCGACGGGCCCGATCCGTATGAAGGCAGCGGTGTACTCGCCGTGGTCGGCCGGCACGGCACCGTCGGCCCGGGGGTGCTGGTGAACACCGCACTTGGTGAAATCGTTGTGCTCCCCCATCTCGCCGAAAACGCTCTCGACGTGGCCGATGAGCTTGTCGACGTTCTCCTTTTGTCCAGTGATCTTCAGATCATCGACGAGCTTGGACAACCAGGGCGCAGGTTTTCAATCGCTAGCAACACAGTCGCTGGACGCCTCATGCTCGACCTCGAGCGCCAGGCCACACCTGGTCAGTTTGGCGCCGCACTCTCGTGAGCGCGTGACCTGGGCGAGTTTCATAGAGAAGGCTCAGAGGGCCTCCTTGCGCTCTGAGATCCGGCGTTTTGGAGGGTGCATCGGGCGCCACGGCCGTTCCAAAGCGTTCTGGAACACTCCGAGAGCATTCCAGAACGCTCTGGAACGATTCTAGGGCAACTACCTTCGTGCTTCGCAGTTCACGAAACGCCAAACGCGATGATCTTCGCGTTTTCGCGCCGACCCCCCTGGAACAGGTCGAGGGACTCGCGCTTCGCTCTGAAATCGCCCAAACCGCGAAGCGCGAATAACGACAACCTTCACACCCTCGTGGTGGCCCTAGACGATTTGTCCGGGTCCTAGCCACGCCCGATGATTCACCCTGCATGCGAATGGGAATCGCCCCCTTTGCAGGCGAAAGGTTGTGCCGCCTCCCCGTGCCGGGGGACTCCTGGAGGTCTGGTTTGTTCCTAGCTCTTGTTCTCGGGAAGAAGAAAACGAAGATGAGGGAAGAGGAGAACGAAGAGGACTGAAGAGGAAAACGAGGAGGGAAAATGAAAACGAGTAGGGGAAACCTAGGACGGGAGGATGAGGCAGGGACGACTAGAAGGGAGGAGGCTTCCAACGAAGGTCAAAAGACAAGGGGGTAGACGGAGGCCGCCTGAATGGGGACGGAGTCAGTTGATCAGGAGGAAGACGCCGCGCCGCAGATGCATCGGCTACGTCGCGATGGCAAGTCGTCGAGCCAAGATTGCGCCCTTCTGTCTTGGCCGGGAAAACATGTACATCGGCCCAGGGGCCCAAAACCCTCCAGGCTAGCGCAAGTGTGTTGAGATGTGGACGTAGTTGGTGCCCACCCCTGGACTTTGAGGAAGGTCGCCATCGATTTCGGAGGGAGCTGCATCAACCGCGGAGGTTAGCGAGGCCTCCTAGATGGGGCCCGAATCGGTGGGATCGAAAATCGCGCCGCATCGCCAATACATCGCCGATGCTTTGGCGATGCGTCGGCGACGACGGCGACGCATCCGCGACGTGGGCAGCAAACAAATCGGCCCAATATCGAAACGCATCGCCGATGCATCGGCGATGCGGCGCGATCCTCCGACCCCATCTGCTCGGACCCCCTCCGGGAGGCCTCGAAGGATGCGTGTAGGCCAGCGCAAACTGTCGATCCATGTCGGTGCACATGCTATGCGTATCCCTCTGCTTCGCTGCGGAGGCTCGCGGCCACGCGGCGGCAAGTCCAGCGGAGACGCCGCCCGCGCGGTGCCCAGACCTCTGGCGCCACAGCTTCGTCGTTGCGCAGCGCCCCCCCCCAGCCTTCGGCCAACCTTCAAGGGAATCCGCACGTGGCCACGGGAAGCCTCCCAGTGGCCGCGAGCACATTCCAAACTAATCGCAATCCTCAGGTCGTCGTCGTCGTCGTCGTCGTCGTCGTCGTCGTCGTCGTCGTCGTCGTCGTCGTCGTCGTCGTCTCTGGGACCATACCATCTGGGGGGGGGGAGGAATCCAGGGACCATACCGTCTGGGGGGGGGGGCGTGGGCCCTCGACCCTGGATCATACACGGCTCCGCTCTTGGAATGAAGAAAACATCGCCTCCCTGCGCCCCGTAGTTCTCCAGCGACATGAGGGCCTTGGCGTCGTCGAGCCGCCCCACCTTCAGGCGGCGCGGGTGTCGCCGCCGCCGCCGCCGCCGTCGTCGAAGATCGAGAGCCGTTATGTGGTTCATTGCTTTCGAACCTGTCGGGCTTCCTGGAAGGCCCTCGTCGCCGCAGAAAAAGGGGGTGAGAGAGGGGGCGCGGGTAGAAAACAGGGGATGGAAAGAAAGGATAGCGGAGGAGAGGAAGAAAAGGGGACAACATACGTGCGCCAGCACCACGTTTGCCGTGTTACCTTCTCTCTCATCCTTTCCCACTGTGCTCAATATTTTCCTGCAGGACGTCCAGGGCAAAAAACAATAAGGGCAGCGCAACGCAAGGGAGGCCCCCCACGGCGCGGCAAGCAGGCTCGCGGCGGGCGCCGCGCTTCCGCCAACGCCACGACGACACAGCATGTGGTGACACCCCTAGATGATCCTCAGAAAGCGCGTCAGCGCCAACGTGCGTCTGTCCACCGAAGATCCTCCATTCGACGCAGACGGCGCAGCGAGGGCCGACACAGGCTGCGCGCCACTGTCGGAACAGAGCGGGGTACGCGGGCCCTCGCAGGGCGCCTTCCGCTACAGGAGGCGGTGGCAGCGCTGCGCATGCGGGAAGGGCGGCCAGTGTTCGTCGTTTCGCCATCGCTCGGCCGTCCATCGCCCGTGCATGTTTCGATGTCGTGCGTGCGTGCGTGCGTGTGTGTGTGTGTGTGTGCCTGTGTGTGTGCGTGTGCGTGTGCGTGTGCGTGTGTGCGTGTGTGCGTGTGTGCGTGTGTGCGTGTGTGCGTGTGTGCGTGTGTGCGTGTGTGCGTGTTTTCGCACGTGCGTGCGTGTGCGTGTGTGTGTGCGCGCGCGTGCGTGCGAGCGTGCGTGTGCGTGTGACCATGCGCGCGTGCGTGCGTGCGTGCGTGCGTGCGTGCGTGTGTGTGTGTGTGTGTGTGCGTGTGTGTGTGTATGTGTGTGTGTGCGTGTGCGTGTCTGTGCGCGTGCGCGCGTGCGCGTGCGCGCGTGCGCGTACGTGTGCGTGTGCGCGTGCGTGTGTGTGTGTGTGTGTGTGTGTGTGTGTGTGTGTGTGTGTGTGTGTGTGTGCGTGTGTGTGTGTGTGTGTGTGTTCGTTTGTTCGTCGCCCGCCCACGGCGGAGACGCCGTGTTTTCGCGCCGTCTCATGCCCGGCTGCACGCCGCGTTGACCAGCCATTTCTGGGGGAGCACGGGTGTGGCGGAGCTGGGGGCGCCCTCCTAGATGATATGCCGCCTTTATGTAATTTCAAGCAGTTGCGCCTGAGACTTCGTGCTGCTGGGATGCTGCACGGTAGCAGCGACGGCCTTGGAATCAGCCCTGAAGGTCGCGCGAAACCCCTCGCTGGACAGGGCCAAAAATCCCACTCGACCCGGCACTGGGATGGCCGTCTCAAGCTAAGGCCACAACTACGACAACTATGCCAAACAATCAGGGGGACGTAAGACCTGGGTACAGAGGACTCGGAAATCCCCGACGAGGTCGTCAAAAAAATGACGAGGCCGAGCCTGCATGTTGACGCGGCCTCCCGCTGCAGACATCCCACAAAATCCTCCTCGTCAAAATCCGAGTCGCGGTCGTCAAAACACGATGGCGAACCCGAGTCCTGGCAAACCCGGGTCTTACGCTCCCCCGAAACAAACATGAGCGCGAAGCCCATAGAGCCCTGATGTCAGGACACCGGCATCACATGCATCCTGCACCTTCGGCTCGTGCTGCCTCGTCGCCAAGTCGAGCGGTCGGCGCGCTGCCGGCGCAGCCGGCCCCCCTGCCTCCGAGTAGCGCTGGAGCCTGCGTGGGTCGCGCCACCCCGCGACAACGAGCCTGCGCCCCCCCTCGGGGGTGGACAGAACCCCCAACAGTGACACGTCGATTAGTGAATCGTCCGTTTTCGGTTCTCGAGATGGCGCCGTGGCCGTTATTTTCCAGGGTTGCGCCCGCCAGGTTTGGGCCTCAGGTCGTTTTCACTAAACCACGCTTTACTAAAGGGGGGTCTGTCCATCCCCAACCCCCCTTGAACTGGGAGTGGGAACGCTCTCCAGCGCCGCCCACGCTCAGGCGCAGCGCCGCTGGGCCGCGCGGCCAGCCCGCGACGCGCCCTGCCAAGCCCGCGATGGTCGCCGACGCCGCCGCGACGCGCGCCCCCGCCAGCAGAGGCCTCTCGCTTTTCCTGGCGTTTCCTGGCGCCCCGCGTGGACTCGCAAGGAACGCCGCGCGCGACACTCGGCGCTCTCCCGCGCCTCTCCCGCTGCGCGCGCGTGGCCCACGATGAGTCGGGGATGGACAGACCCCCCTTTAGTAAAGCGTGGTTTAGTGAAAACGACCTGAGGCCCAAACCTGGAGGGTGCGAGCCTGGAAAATAACGGCCGCGGCGCCCTCTCGAGAACCGAAAACGGACAAGTCACTAATCGACGTGTCACTGTTGGGGGTTCTGTCCACCCCCGAATGAGAATGGATTCGCGGGGCGCGCGGGCGCGCCCGGCGCTCCGGCCCCCGCCCCGACGCGTTTGCCCTCGGGGCACTCGTCGGCAGTGCCCCGACGCTCGGGCGAGGGCGCCCGGCGCACTCCCGCGCCCCACTTGCAGAACCCGCGGAAACAATGATCAACCAGAGAATCTATATATATATATATATATGTATATATATGTATATATATATATATAAATATAAATGTATAGAACATCTTCGGGTCTCGCGAGAAATCACAACCTCTTCCGCCGCAGCTCCTCGACATCGAGTTGCGAGGAGACAGCGGCCTTCTCGCGGGCGGTCGAATTCGCCGCCCGCCGCTGCGCCTCCCAGCCCAGCTGCGCGGCGCTCGCCCACGTAGGCCCTGCTCGACGCAAACTATGCGAGATTGCAAGATCCAGCTGGGAATCGTCCGCCAGCGATCCCCTGGACACCACCTTCAACGACAGGTTGAAGCCACCCAACTTCCCAACTTCACAAGCGCGCCTGAGGCCGGGTCAAAAACAGGCCCCACCAGCGCATCCCTTCCCGCGCGATCTTCCCGCGCCGCCAGCTCGTGCCAGCCGCTCCGCATGGCGTCGGCAACGGATCGCGCGCCCCCTAACTGCCTCGGCAGGCACCAATCGAACGAAGGTCGCCCCAGCCGTTTCCCTTGCTTCCCCTGCGACGCACAGGACCAGCAACAGTAAGGCGATCTCTCCAAAAACCAGGAGCGCGACAAGCGCGCGCATCTCGACCACGCGCATGTCTCGCCCAGGCGTTCTTGCGTCGTCAAAGAAATCGCACAAGTGGAAAACCATCTCGGGCTCAACGACGGCAGCTTGGACCAGCGGCGCTGCGGCACCGGTGCCCGGATCGCGCGGCAAGGGCCGACATGCGTCACCCCAGCAAAATGGCGCTATCAAGTGCACGAGCGTCCACTTCAAACTGTTCCAGATCCTGACGCCAGACGGCCGCGCGGTCGAGAGCGAGTGGACCAACTCAGCGGCCGCCATGGGCCGCTGCGCGAGGGGCGACGCTGGCTGCCCCTGTCGGTCCGCCCACTCAGCCCACTGCCCCCGCGCGCGCAATGCCGCGCGCAACGTCGACGACGCGAAACCACTGAGCGCGGCAGCGCACGAAACGTCCGCGAGCACCTCGGCCTGCGCCCGCGGCACTCCCAGACCCAGGCCGAACGGCCCTGGTCGCTAACAGGACCCCTCGCGCTCAGCAGCCTCCGTTGCCACCGCGGCGCAGCGTTTCGGCCGACTCGCCTTCGAGGCCCCGCCGCGCACAGCAAGGGGTGCGCGCCCTTCGCCCGCCGCGGCCCCCGCGCTCGCTGCCGGCGGTGCAGTGCCGCGAAAGCACCGCTCCGCGGCGATGCGCAGACACCACTCACGGCGCCACGTGCGCCACGTCCCGGGCCACGGCCCAGGCCGTCGGCACGCCGCGCTGCTCCGCCTCGTCCACTGAACCCCCAAAAATCGCCAAATCAGCGGATGACTCCAGCCCCTCGCTCGCTACGAACGCCGAGAAAGGCTCGCGCTCGCTAGAACCGACCGTCCAATCCAAGAGCTCTTCGATGAAGTGTTCTCCGCGGTGCCCGGCCATCCAGCAGCGCACAAACAAAAAACAAACAAGCCAACATCAACAACCGCTGTCACCAGCCCGCTATGCTCGCACAGCTGGGCCCCCTGGCGGAGCCTCCTGCGCCGCCCCTCCGCCCGAGGCTGGCATTCCACCCTCCCGCCCTCTCGCACGAACTCGCCGAGAGGACCACGGCTCGCGCAGCGTTCCCAGAACTTGACCTACGAAACCGAAGATCTACTGGGCAAGAAACAGCAGATTCGTGCGGCGATGACGTCGACGCTCAACCCTGAACGATCGCGGCTTCCCGACAGCGCATATCAATCGATATCAGCGGGTTCCAGGCCACCGGCGGCGTTCAACCTTGAACGCCCGTGCCGGGGTCGCCGCCGCGGCAACGCGGCGCGAACCTACCGTATGGGGGACATTCACAGCCTCAAGTCTCTGGATGGCAGTCGCCAATTCTTGGAGGAGCAAGAAACCATGCATGACAATGATACGCTCCAAGATCTCCAGAACTTCTCATCGCTCAATGCGGACTCCAGAAACGAGGGCCGCTCGATACTCCCGAACTCTTGGAATGCATCCTGACCAATCGCGTCATGACATCATTCGCGCCCTGCATCTCAGGCGCAAGAGCAACCTCCTGTCCTCCCCTGAATTTCATTGGGCGTCGGTCTGGGGGGGAGGCGATGCACGAGGGGAAAAAAGGTGCACGTGGCGGGCACTAAAAGGCATCTTTTTGGGCATACATGGCCCCTTTGAAAGGCCCGAAAGAGTCCCTTTTCTGCAGCCCTCGCTGCGCCCCCGTTCATCGTCCCTTCCCTTACGCGACGCCCGCTTTTCATGTCCTGGGCGCGCTGTCGGCAAGGGCGACTGCCAGAGGGCGACCGCGGGACTCGTCAACAGTCCGCCACTGCAAGACCGCGTGGGTACGCAGATGCACTTGAGTCGCCTAATTTCGCGCAGTGCCCGGCGGCGAACGAGGGGGAGAGGTGAGAAGGAGAAGGCCTTTTCCGGAGGTTCGGACCCCCCCCCCGGCCTTCAGAGAGGTGTTCTGAGCCCCCGCCGAAGACGCCGACAGCCTCTCAGAAGGCGCGAGGGCTTCCGAGAAGTTCCGCCGCCTTCTGAGAAGGCCTTCTCCTTCTCACGCCCCCCTGGGCTCGCCGCCGAATGGCGCCCTGCAGTCCGCGACGACGTCTGCGCCCCGGCGCCGCCGCCCCGGAGAAGCGCAGCTGGCCGGTCCAAGCAGAGACGCGCGAAGCGTGATCATTTTACTGTCCCTGGGGGTGCCCTGAATTAGAGGAAGAAGAACTATGCACATACACCGATTCTGGCCAGGCCCATCCTGAGCCCAGGATCGGTGCATATGCCCTCCTACCTTGGCCAGGAAGGCATATGCACTGATCCTGGGTCAAGGATGGGCCTTGCCAGGATCGGTGCATGTGCATAGTTCTCTTCGCCCGATGAATGCATGTACGGCGGGTTTGCGCCGTGACGACCCCAGCGTTGGTTTCTGACATCGCGTGGATCGTTCAGCCTGGAACGATCGGCGGCGTATCGATTGCCATATCGTTCCATAGTAGGCCGATTCTGGGCCACTGGCGGCGTTCAACCTTGAACGCCCGTGGCGGGGTCGCGACGAGTCGACACGACGCGAACCTACCGTACGAATGTGTGATCGTGTGCCCGTCTTGGTGGGGCGGGCGCCGAAGGCGAATCACAGTGGGCCAGAAACGAGCTGCGTGGTAGCCGCATCGAAGTACGAGTTGAGCCGCGTGCAGGGGGGGGTCAGACGTCATAACGACGGGTACCTGATGGATGGAGATATGTATGTAGAGGCAGAGAACTGGAGAGAAAGATAACGAGAGAGATAGAGAGAAAGAGAGAGCGCGAAAAAAAGACAATCACATATCGGGTGTTGGCGGGACTGGGTTTAGCGGGACCTGACTTAATGATGTGTACCAGGGACGCGCCCCCCCGCAATACTGCGTGGGGGCCCCGCATGCGAGAGCAATCGCTGGGGCCTGCAGCCACTGGGCCCCAACCGGAACTGCTACCACCCGAAGAAACACCACCTGCGGCAAATGCGTTTCAGTGATTATGGTAAATGATTTTGAGGCGTCGGGTCCCAATCACTAACGGGCTCCCCGACATACTATAACCTCGCACTCCAACCTCCTGGAAAACGGTGATATGCGACTGTGCGGACAACTCTCCATGCCGCCCGCGCGCTGGCGAGAAAAGTGCCCAGACCTCATCACCGAGCCACAAGCAATCCGAGCCTAAGACTTCCTACTGCTGAAGATGCTCGACGCTATATTCCGCTAGATAAGCGCAACGATAATCCACGGCGCCAACCCGCCCGAATCCGGATGAAGAAGATGATGATGATGGTGATGATGATGATGTGATGATGAGGAGAAGGAGGATGCGAGGAGTAGAAGCAGGAGAAGAACGGCCCACGCCTAACTCTCAATCTTATGAATCTTCAACACGCGGGCCGCACCCTCATCGACGGCGTCAGCTGCGGGCCAGGTACCCTGGGATGTGAAGCCGGACGCGCGCACACACACTCACACACACACATCACACGCACACCTTCTTGTTTGCGTCGGCGGCGAGGCAGGAGGTAAACTGCACCAGCGGGAAGCGATTTGGGGCAACCGAAAAGAAAATTGGTCTGCATGCGCCAGTACGCGGAAAGCAGGTGTAAGTACAGCGAAGCAATCCAGGAGTGGACCGACTAGGTACTGCAAGTGACGAGATTAGTACTCGAACACACACACACATACACTCATTCACACACACGCACACACATTCACACACACGCACAAACGCACACACACATACACACATACATACATACATACATACATACATACATACATACATACATACATACATACGTACGTACGTACGTACGTACGTACATACATACATACATACATACATACATACATACATACATACATACATACATACACACACACCCACACACCCACACACCCACACACACACACACACACACTACACACACTACACACACGCACGCACACACGCGCACAGACGCACAAACGCACACACAGACACACACACACACAGACACACACACACAAACACACACACACGCACCCACAAACACCCACCCACGCACCCACCCACCCACCTACCACACACACACAGGACGCAAATGTGCGACGACGCAGCGAGCAAGAAGTACGGCGCCGAACAACCCCCTGGTACGAATGACTACGCTCACTAGAGAAACACCAGAAACACCAAGCGGCATAAACAGAAACGTGCGGAGGTCCGACCGGATTTCTTGGATCTGCGCTGGACTCCCCTCCCTGGAGCGCGCAAAGGGCCGCGCCAGAGGCGTCGCCAAGGAGGTCCAACTCAAATCCAAGAAATCCGCACGGGGCTCCGAAAGTGTATGGTTGTAGAGATGTTTCTTCGGCTTACGCTGCCCCGTCAGCTCAGCAGTCGAACGCCTCCTCCTCGATGCTGTGCGCGGCCGCGCCTGCGCCCGTGGCGAGCCCCGTCGACGGCCGAGGCCGCAGCTGCGGTGCCCACCCTGACGACCGCGGCGCCGCCTGCTGCGCCGCCTCGGCGGGCGGCCTGCCCTCTGGCTCTGCCGACGGCCTTGCGGCCCACGCGCCGCTGTCGGCCGAAACGCCGCCCCAGCCGCTGCCTGACCCGCCCGCGGCCAGGGCAGCGCCCGAGGCGCCGCCAGCTCCGCCGCCCGCGGCCCACGCGCCACCCTCCTCCTCGCCGGTGCCGCCGCCCGCCGCGTCCGTGCCGCCGGCCCAGGCGGCGTGTCCGCCGCCGCCCGCGGCCCAAGCGCGGCCCGCGCCGTCTGCAGCGGCCCAGGCGCCGTCCGCGGCCCAGGCGCCATCGGCCTGCCTCCACGCGTTCCACCCGCCGCCCGCCCAGCTGTCACCAGCCCAGCCTCCGCCGCCGTGGCCGCCACCACGTGCGCCGCCTTGTCTGGTGGCGGCCCAGGGGTACGCGACACCCATCTTGGCGTCGCGCCTGGCCTTCCTCCTAGCACGTTCGAAGCGGTCGTCCTGGGAGTCGAGGCTGGGTGCCAGCTTAGAGACCAGGTCAGTGTCCTGCGGAAGCGCGCCCAGTTCTTGGAGTTTACTTGCCACGGCCACGTAGCGCAACCGCACGTTGCGCAGCTGAACGACCAGCTTGCGTCGCTGGTTGGAGATTGGCTCGCCCCATCGGGGACTTCAGGCATCTGAGATCTTGACCCGCACTGTTCAAAAAACAATCCCTCTCCACGCCACGCCGCCTGGCGGCCCGTTCCGGCCCCCCCGCGGGCACCGAAGACACCCCCCACGCGATACACCCAACCCACGTCCCGCGCAAGACACTCCATTTCTACCACCCACTCCGCCACCATCTGAGCGCGAACGGGCAAGTGTCCCGCCACCCCCTGGCGGCGCCTCCTTGTGGCGCCCGAGAACTACGCCTACTATGTCGCAGTGATCATCTCTAAGAAGATCGGAGGGTGCCCAAGAGCTACGCCTGCAAAATCGCGGAGAGCACGGGCGAGTCTTCTGGCAATGAGTATACTGGGTATGCGGGAGTCTGAGTATGAGTGGATCTGGACACCAATGGATCTGAGTGTGTGTGTGTGTGACGTGAGTATGAATCGTCCTAGTGTGAGCGAGCCTGAGTGCGACAATGAGTCTGAGCAGGAGTGAGTCAGAATATGACTGGCAATGTGTCAGCGAGTCTGCGTATGAGTGAGTCTGAATTTGTGGAATCAGGCGGGAACGAGCACGGAAGGACGTGTGCGAGGGAGGCGGATGAGTGACGGCGCGTATGCCTCACACAATTAACAAGAATCCCATCCTAGGAGATGTGCAAAAACATCAGACCTGGCAGATGTGCCAAACAGTTCAACCAACTGGATCAACCAGACTGGCAGATAAACCAGACAAGAAGCCCCCCACCGAACCTTGCAGGAGAAACACCCGAGCATTGCTTGGTGGGCCAGAGATGTTCCCGCGAAGCGGTGTGCATCTCATCCTGCTTCCTGCGCAGCATCGCCAACTCCTCCCGCTGATCGCCGTACCGCTTCTCCGCATCCTCGGCCGCCACGAGGATGGCATCGGCGCTCTCTCGGATGAGCTGCCGCAGAACTTCCAGCTCCGCCGCCCCAGCCGCCCCCTGGCCCGCCATCTTTGATGAGCGCGTTTTCCACCACCACCACCACCATAAGTTGGATGGGGCGAAGGGGGAGGAGGAGGAGGAGGAGGAGGAGGAGGAGGAGGAGGAGGAGGAGGAGGACCCCCCCCTCCAACTTATGGTGGTGGTGGTGGAAAACACGCTCATCAATCTTGAAGCACGGCCAGCGCGCGTGAGCTGCGGGCCAACCGCTCGACCTCTGCGCAGGCTCGGGCCCAGACGGATGTGCGGGTCCTCGGCAGGCGAGAGAGCAGCCCGAAGCGCGGCGGAGGTCCACCGGCGCCGGAGGCCTGAGAAATGCCCATGTCATAGAGGAAAAAGAACTATGCACATACACCGATTCTGGCCAGGCCCATCCTGAGCCCAGGATCGGTGCATACGCCCTCCTACCTTGGCCAGGAAGGCATATGCACCGATCCTGGGTCAAGGATGGGCCTTGCCAGGATCGGTGCATGTGCATAGTTCTCTTCGCCCGATGTCACATGTCGAAGGATCCACGAAAGCATTGATGGTTGACTCCTGGGCCTCCTCAAGCTGATCCCGCTCTTCGGCTGGCTGGCCGCCCCCGACCCCCCTTCTTTGTTTCATTGCGGGCGCCAACACTGTCCTGATCAATACAACTCGCCTTGGTATCGTTACTGGATGGGCTGATGGGGGCACGTGAAGCGACAATAACTCGAAGCAGAAGCGCCGAAGAAACACGGGAGAAACATCGGCCGGAAGTCTCGACTTGAAAAGGGGCGCAAGGCCAGCATCGTGAGGGCACAACGCTCGGCTCACACTCATCGGGGGCGGCCAAGAGGAGGGCGTCCAAGAGGGGGGCGCAAATCATGACCAGCGACATGTGCGCGGCCCAGGGGGGGGTGGGGACGTAGTGAAGTAAGAGGAGGCGCAATGAAATCTGGGGAGATATCATGGCCCCCGCCATGATATCCACCTCCCCTAGTCATCACCCCCCTCTTTGCCGCCCCCGGACTCAGGCAGATGTTTGGACCCAGGGAGACGGAGGTGGATGAAGAGAACGGAGCGCCTGCGGCGAAACATGGAGCTTGCGTGAAGCCTCTGCGGCACACCCGGGCGGCAAGAAATGTGCGGCGTTCAAGATGGTTGACCTTCCTTGAACTTGTGAAGGATTGTGGCGCTCGCTCCAATGTTGGTCTCTGACGGCCCCAGGCGGCCCCAGTAGGTCCCCAACACGGCCCACAAGGCCTCCAAGACGGCCCGATAAGCCCTCTAGACGGCCCCGTGAGGGCCGCCAGATGGCCCAAGAGGCCTCCAACACGCCTCCAAGAGGGCCAAGATAGCACTATGATGCCGCCACCAAAAGATTGGGCCAATATGGCCCAAGACGGTCCAAGAGGCCTCCAAGAGGACCGCCAAGAGGATCCGCATGTGCCCAAATTGCTGCTTGTCTGATGTTGGCTGATGTTGGTGTCTGCTCCCTTTCGGGCCTCTGACGGCCCAAGGCGACCCCAGAAGCATCCAAGATAGCGCCACGCCGGCCCGATGAGCCTCCAAGAAGGCCCCAGGACGGGCCCGCAAGGCACAAGTACGGCTCAAGAGGCCTCCAAGACGGCCCAAGATCCCCCCCAAGACATTTCGCAATCGTCCCAAGAGGGTACGGCCCAGTGAGGCCCCGACGACGGCCTTCGAAGACCACGCGCCCCCTTTATAGAGCCCCCAAGCCCCCCACGAGGCCCCCAGAGCCCCTGAGAAGCTGTCAGGACACACTCAGGAGTGTTCGAGAGGCGCTCAACTTGCCACCTCTCCTTCTTCCTCCTCCTCCTCCTCCGTATCCCTCTCCTCTTCACTTTCTCCTCCATCTGTTCCTACAAGGATTTCCACAACTGTTCGGAGAACATGTTGCCTAATTGCCTGGGACACCTTCGGGCCACAAGGGCGCTTCCAAAAGGCAGGGGCGAGGGGGGGCGGTGGTTCGCTGTAGGCGCCTTCGATATATACGCAGACGTGTAACTCGTCAACGTACATGCGCACGAGTTTAGTGCAATGTAAGCGGTGATTCGGGCGCCTTCTCCGCCACACTGGGGTGGAGACTGCGATGGTCAGAATGATGTCCCCCCCGCTTCGCCTGTCCCCCTCTTCCAGCCTTCGTCATTGCCAGGATATCTTAGATGCCTGTCCGACTATTTCGTTTGACCCCCCCCCACTGATGACCCTGAAAGTTGTAGTGTCGATAACTACATGGATGCAGGGCTGGTGGTTTTCACGTGCGGCCCTCGCTTTTTCTCTGCGCGCATGCGTGTTCAAATTAGACAGTGTATTACACGGGTGGACGGCAATTGGTTTTTCAAAACGTGGATCCCGCCTTAACGCCACGCTTATTCGTCCTAAACTGTTTCCAACCTATGTGCAGATGGAGCCGGGGTCCTTTTCAAAATGGGATTCCCGCTCGGGATGTCTAGGTTTTGACCAGAACTTTGAGTTGTGCATGAGCGATACGAAGAGGAAAGCTGCCACTCTTCAAAGCGGGACTCTCGTTTGAGATGTTCCAGACCAATTCGAATGACAGATCTATGAGCCACATGAAATACTTGCACGAACTGAACAAGAGTGTGCTTCAAAGTGGTGCTATCGCTGGATACGTCCGTGACTCTAAAAGTCGCACATTGCATACAATTTGAATGCAACCACCCGCTTGAACTTCTTTCAACCCGTGTGTGCCGCCTGGCCAAGTTGCACGTGCGCCCTCGCTTCTAATGGGTGCCACCCGCGCGCACTGTGAAACAATGAATTTCACAACGCAGGGTGGCAGGGTGGACCGTAGCTACGGTTGGCGTCGCAAAGATAAGCCTGAAACATCGATCTCCGAAGCACATGCCATCCTTGCGAAGCGACTCCCCCGCGAAGGCCCCTGCTGCGTACGCTGTCCCCCTGCGAGGGTCTCGTCGGTGCATGCTGTCCCCCTGCCAAGGCTAGGGAGCCCGCAAAGGACGTACGCGCCCAACTATGTACATGAACACGGCCCCTCGATCCGCGAGACCGGCCGCGTTATACGAACATTTGCGCAATGCGTGCTCTCGAAACCAGCGTGGATTCATGTACGTGTACGTCCTTCTGTCGCTCCTGAAAGGCGTCCCCCTGCCATATTTTCTTATAGTTTCTGGGTTTTGTGTTCCCCCCCACTTCCCATATTTTCCAATATTTTTTTGAGGAATCGACGATTAATTGTGTCTGTGTGTTTTTCTCCCTCCTGAGTCTCGTCGGTGCAAGCTGCTCCCTGCCAAGGCGTCCCCCTGCCAAGGCGTCCCCCTGCCAAGGCGTCCCCCACGCGGGCATAGCGCGACATATAAGCGGGCCGGCGGCGCCCCATCGCACGCGAAAGCTTCGGCGCCAAAAGGTACAGCGAGGCCCTCGCCGGAATATGAGTCCCATACACCCTGCGAAATGCTTAAGAAATTATGGGTTAAGAAATTCATAGTCTCAGAACTTGAATACAAACCCAACATCTCTATTAACATCTTAGGATTTACATTGAAACGTTCCGAACACTCAAGTTTTCTTAAGCATCGCCTAGGGTGTATGGCGGGGGGGCGTGTGAGGACAGGACTTGGGAAGGGACGGTGCGTTGTAACCTCTTTCGGAGTTTCCTGAAGTACACACGGGCCTCCTCCTCCTCCTCTTCGCTCCCCTTTCCATTGCTCCTCCAACCCCGCGCTTTCCCCTCGTCCCTCCGCGTCCTTCTCGCTCTGCTCCTACCCCTCCCTCCCTCCCCCCCTATCCCTGCGAGAGCGTCAGTTCGGAACTCGGCTGCAGATTTCGGCGCCGTCCCAGACATGGCTTCGTGGAGCGGCCTACGAAGCCTCGCAGAGGAACCGATTTCTCGAAGGCCTCATGAGACAGCGATGTGCTTGGGCGCGGCTGGAGGACTGGATGACGCAGGGTCCTCCGTTTTCAATATACGTGTGCCTGGATCAGTCGGGCTGGAGATTCAATTATGTGTTGCGCCTCTGGCTCTTGCGTTCTTGTATGTGCTCTCATTCTGACACTAGTTGGGGCTGGGCAAGCTACTGCAACTTAGCTCTGGGCATAATTACGCCTCGCGCGACGAGCGTCGCCTGGCGGCAAATACACGCCACCCGCGCACAAAGTGGGAAGACAGTCGAAAAGATGGGCAAACACTGACTTCAGCAGGACACAGCGCACGGTCCGTACGCCCACAAGAAAGCGAATTGCCAAGGCGTCTCGTGGATCCAGTCGCATTCCTCATCACCTAGCTCCGTCGCATGTAAACTTCGGCGAGGTGGGTGGTCAAGCCCCGACATCGATGCCGCTGGGACGCAGCAGCTGCGAGTTGGAGCAGCAAGGTACGCGTGCAAGTCATGCGACTTGATCATAGAAAACCCTCAGCCCCGAGTTCTGGGAGATCCCCGGCGCTCTTGGAGCGTGTCCCGTGGATTTCCCTGAAGCCACAGGGGCCTGGAGGCGACCCCCAAAGACGGTTCAAGAGGGCTCCGAGATTGCCCATGAGGGCCCCAAGACGCACAAGATCGCCTGGGGACGGCCCAAGAAGCCCCCGAGACGCCCCGAGATGACCCCGCGAGGACCCCCCAGAGGATCCAAAGAAGCCCAAATCATTGATTTCCGTTAGGTGTTCGTTCACACACGCTTGCTCTTTCCAAGAAGGCCCAAGAATGCCCAAGAGGGTGCCAAAGGCGGCCTGAAAGGTCCCCAAGACAACCCATGAGGGGAAACTTGAACCGACATGTCCACCTCCGCCCACGCATGACCCCCAAGACCGCCAGCAAGCCCTCAAGAGGTCACCAAGAGGCCCCCTGGAGGCCTCCAAGAGGCCACCGAAAAGCCTCCTAAGGGACCCTCACAAGCAACCGTGAGGCCTCTGAGACACAACCCTGGCACGGAGGCGTCGAGCGGTGAGCGGAGACCATGCGCTGTGATCGAGTCCCTTCGCGATGCATCTTCCCATCCTCCGCGTGCTCCTCCTTCGGTAGACGGCGATAGCCGAACGGCCACGCAGTGGCAAACTTGATGGCCGACGCAGCAGCCGACGTTGATAACTTATGGCAGGCGCTCCAGCAAAGAGTACCTCCCTCCCCTCCTGCCTCCTCCTCCGATGTGGCGGGGTATTGTTTCGCTCTGTTCGCGCGCGGTCTGGGCTCGCTTTAAAATCTTAGTGATTTGACTTGGGGTTCTTGTCCCTGGGGTAAAATGAGCCCGCATGGCGGGTGCCCTGGACTGTGCCGCTTTTTAGAGGTGCCCTCCCCCGGCTGCGGGGGCCTGACCCCCCTTTCGAGGATGGCCGAACCGAACCTCCGAATAGGAAGCATGAGAGGAAAGGTCGCCAAACTATTCGGGGACGCTGCACACACCGACCTGACATAGACACGCCCGCGCACCGAGCCGTGGCCTGGGGGAGAACGCGGGGCGCTACGAGAAAGCAGAGTGAGGGTGCAAAGGATGGAGGCGGGGCGCTACAATAGGAGCTCGACCACAAGAAAGATTGCTTGGGGCTGCGCAAACAGTCCATCTTGAGCCAAGAGTGAGCGTTTTCTGATTCAGCGTTTTGTCATTGGGCGGGAGGGGGAGGGGGGAGGGGTCAAGCTCTGGACCTCTGCTCCTTGCAACTGTTTGCAACAGTGCGTCCTACGAGGGACGACTCCACTTGCTTGAAACATGCGCCAAAAAACAAGTCCTTGTAGAGGTGGAGGGGGTACGAGGGCCCGCGCCGATCGGCGGAACAATGAACAAGAAAACGATCACAAACGGGTACGGACCCATGAGGGTGTCTACGCAGCTTCCACTCCAAGGGTAGCCCAAGCGAGGCCGCAAGCCACCATCCTCATGTCCCGGAGCTCGTGCGCACACGCTTTTCGGGAGCCTCGGGATGGATGTGGGTCCGTGGAAGGCAGACAAGATGCGTCAGCATCGGATCGAGACATCGGCTGGGATCAAAGTGCGCACCGAGCCCTGAGATCCAGGCGCCCCAATTTTGCCGAGCTGGGCGTGCTCGCCCAGAGTCGGGCCCCCCGGAGCCTCACGGATCGATCCGCCTGGAACAGCGGCGCCGACGGATAGGGTCCGGGGCTCGATGTGCAATTTGTTACGATTTGTTACGATGTTGCAATTTTGTTACGATGCCGCTTCGGACCCGACGACAGCGCACCGGACGATACCGCCCCGGCGAAGGGCCACTCGGCTTTGGGGCTGCAGCTCGGGTCTGCGGCGAGGGTCCGAAGCGGCGCTGTGATTTGTTACGATGTTGCAACTTTGTTCGAGGCGTCGGATCTCAGGGAATAGGCATCCAATCGGGAAACCGGATGGGATCGGAATGTGCATGGACGAGGCCAGGACAGGGACAAAATCGGACCAGGATGAATCGGGGATCTCTGAGATCCAACGGTTCTGGAGGATGTAGCGAGCTCCGCGGCTATTCTAAAGCGCTCTAGGATACTCTGAGAGCTTTCCGGAACGCTCTGAATCCACTTGTTCCTGTCCTAGCCCCGCCCGATACATCGAATCGGGCCGCATCGGCACGGTGTCAGAATCGAGTGTCAAGTCGGCCGCGCCAGGATGCACGGCAGCGCCATGCAAAACATCAGACCACATCGCACTGTCGGAATGTCGGAATCGACTCGGATCAGGCTTGTGCAGACACGTCCAACACACACCTGCTCTCGCCGTTCCCTCGCGGACGTGCGCCTCATCCAGTGCACGTCGGCCAACGCGGGTGGCCCGAGAGGCAGGATGAAGAGGTCGTCCCTCCCGCATGCCCTCCTACCTCCTTCCTCCTGGCTGGGACCCGAGATGCAGCGCGATCTTCCGACATCTTCTACTCGGACCCCCCTCGGGCCGTCACCAGTTCTCCCACCGCCTGCCCGCATTGGCGGCATTGGCGGGGGAAGAATACCCCAGAACTCCAACGCATTGGAACCAAAATTCACTGACAAGTTTTTGCCGATGTTCTGCTCTGGGGCAGGGTCGAGCTAAACAATGTTTCCGTTCTGGTTTAGATCCCGTTTTCCCTCGTTCCATCTTCGTTCCGCCCTTGCTGCAAAACGAACTCAAACGAAAACGGTCCATGAACTCGCCGGAACACAGTTTAGCTCGAGTCCTGCTCTGAAGGACCCAAGCCCTGGGAACGTGAAACCAACAACTCAGAGTGAGAAGCTGGCCCCGGGGAAGGAGACTTCAAGAATCTCGGTTGGCACACAGCCAACGAACCTCTGAGACCGCTTGTCCCGAGCTCCAAACATTGTGTGTGTGTGTCATGCTCGTTTTGCTTTCATGTTCCGCCGTTATGGTTTCGCTCCGCCTTTGTTGCAAAACGAATTCAAAACGAACACGGTCCACGAAATCGCAAAAATGCTGTTTAGCTCGAGCCGTGTGAGACCGACACCGCGACTCCCGAGACCTCCCCTGGAGTGCATTCCGACGAGAGGTCCGAGGATAATCCAGTTCGGCGGCAAGCGAGGGGGGAAAATAAGAAGGAGAAGGCCGTCTTAGAAGGCGGCGGGACTTCTCAGAAACCCTCGCACCTTCTGACAAACTTCCCTCGTATCCGGGGAAGGCATAGACAACGTCTCAGAAGGCCGGGGCACTTCCAAACCTTCTGAGAAAGCCCGCCCCTTTTCACTTCCCCCCGGGCTCGCCGCCAACCAGCCGCGTGGCTCCCCAAGACGAGCAGCGGCATCGTCGTCCAAGAGGGCATCATCATCGTTGCGCATATTATCGAGTTGCCCTCCCAGTTGGCGTCATGGTCGTCCAATTTGGCGTCATCGTCGCCTCCATCTCCTCCTCCTCCTCCTCCTCCCTCCTCCTCCTCCCTCCTCCTCCCTCCTCCTCCCTTATCCTCCCTCATCCTCCTCCTCCTCCTCCTCCTGCTCCTCCTCCTTCCTTCTCCTCGCGACCCCCCCCCCCCCTGGAGGAGTCGGCGTAATCGTCGTCGCGGCGTCGGCGTTGTCAAGCTCGGCGGTCGCCGCCTTCTCGAACAGGTCGGTGAGGTAAGAGTACGTCGACACGTCCCGCGGCACATCGGAGTCCTGCATCTCCCTGGCCGGGGGCCGGGCGGGCTGCGGGGCCTTCCTCGAACCTCCTCCTCGCTGATCCTCGCCGTCCTAAAAGTCCTCCTCCTTCTCCTCGATCCGCCTCATCCTCGATCCGCGTCCTCAATCCTCCTCTCTCCTCATCCTCCTCAATCCTTCTGCTCCTCCTCCTCTCTCGATCCTGCTCCACCTCCTCCTCGATCTTCCTCCTCCTTCTCGAACATCCTCCTTCCTCGATCCTGCTCCTCCTCCCCCATCCTCCTCCTCCTCCTCCTCCTCCTCCTCCAGCGCCTCCTCCTCCTCCGTTCCTATTTCCTCATGAGTAACTTCCCCCTGAAAAACCCCGAGACCAATTTTTAGGAGGGGCCAGGCGTTTCGCCTCAGACTTCGTCACCACTTATGACTCTGAAGCTTAAAAAGTGGCAACAGCTTCACAGATGGAGGGCGGGCGGTTTTCAAAATATGGCTCTCGCCTTAGCGCCGCGCACATTCGATAAAACACGCAAGAGCTTCACGGATTGAGGGCGAGTCGTTTTCAAAATATGGCTCTCGCCTCAGCGGCGCGCACATTCGTTATTAACGTCTGCAAGAGTTTCACGGATTGAGGGCGGATCGTTTTCAAAATGTGGCTCTCGCCTCAACACCGCGCACATTCGTTTTCAATATTTGCAAGAGCTTCACGGATTGAGGTCGGGTCGTTCTCGAAATGTGGCTCTCGCCTGAGCGCCGCGCATACTCGTATTAAAATGCAAGAGTTTCACGGAGTGAGTGCGGGTGGTTTTCAAAATGTGGCTATCGCTTTAGCGCTGCGCACATTCGTTTTAACACAGTTGCAAGAGCTTCATGGATTGAGGGCGGGTCGTTTTCAAAATGTGGCTCTCCTTAACACCGCGCACATTCGTTTTCAAACTTTGCAAGAGTTTCACGGATTCCCATGATCAGCGTACCAGAAATTTCGTCTTGGAAGAATCCAGGGTTATGCGGGTGCAACAATGATGTTGATTCGCGGTGTCGAAGTCCCAACAATGGCGTTCTGGCACGACTCCGGATCGTCAAGACGGAGCAATTAGGTCGATACGTGATGTTGAAATCCCGAGAACCATGTTTTGGCATGCTTCAGGGTCTTCAAACGGTCGTCTTCCTACCAGGCAGTTCCGTCAATGGAAATGCACCGTTGTGGGGGCCTCTGACGAGGGAGCTTGGAGGGAGGGTCAATTCCAACATCGTTGCTGACTCTTGGGTTTACACTGGTGCTCCTCCTCCTCCTCCTCCTCCTCCTCCTCCTCCCTTCAGACATCGAACATCTGGAAACAAACACACGGGGTACGAACATATTCGCTGTGTTCGGCCGAGGGGCTCCCCCACCAGACCCAGGACCGTCCAAATTGGCCTAAAGAAAAGCCCAACCATGAATACAGCATTGTGGGTACCGCTTTCGGTGGAGCTCCTTTTGGGGCCACGAACCGTGCGAGGGGTGTGCCGAATTGGGCACGCTGGTGCCATGCGAACCCTCCCACTGAAACCTGCGGTGGAGCTCCCTATGGGGACACGAAGCGTGCGAGGGGTGTGCCGAATTAGGCGCGGTGGTGCCATGCGAACCCTCCCACTGAAACCTGCGGTGAAGCTCCCTATGGGGCCACGAAGCGTGCGAGGGGTGTGCCGAATTAGGCGCGGTGGTGCCATGCGAACCCTCCCACTGAAGCCTTCGGTGGAGCTCCCTATGGGGCCACGAAGCGTGTGAGGGGATGTCCAGAACTGAGCGCGGTGGTGCCATGCGAACCCTCCCACTGGAGCCTTCGGCGGAGCTCTCTATGCGGCCACGAGCCGTGTGAGGGGTGTGCCGAATTGGGCGCGGAGGTGTCCTGCGAACCCTCCCACTGAAGCCTTCGGTGGAGCTCCCTATGGGGCCACGAAGCGTGTGAGGGGATGTCCAGAACTGAGCGCGGTGGTGCCATGCGAACCCTCCCGAGCCTTCGGCGGAGCTCTCTATGCGGCCACGAGCCGTGTGAGGGGTGTGCCGAATTGGGCGCGGAGGTGTCCTGCGAACCCTCACATTGGAGCCTTCGGTGGAGCTCCCTCTGGGGCCACGAGACGTATGAACGGTGTGCCGAATTGGGTGCGGTGGTGCCATGCGAACCCTCCCACTGGAACATTCCGTGGAACTCCCTATGGGGCCACGAACCGTTTGTGGTGTGCCGACTTGGGCAGGGTGGTGCCATGCGAACCCTCCCACTGGAGCATTCGGTGGAGCTCCCTATGGGGCCACGAGACGTGTGAGGGGTGTGCCGAATTGGGTGCGGTGGTGCCATGCGAACCCTCCCACTGGAGCCTTCGGCGGAGCTCTCTATGCGGCCACGAGCCGTGTGAGGGGTGTGCCGAATTGGGTGCGGTGGTGACTTGCGATCCCTCCAACTGGAACCTTCGGTGGATCTCCCTATGGGGCCACGAACCGTGCGAAAGGTGCCGAATTGGGCGCGGTGGTGCCATGCGAACCCTCACATTGGGGTCGTCGGTGGAGCTCCCTATGGGGCCACGAACCGTGTGTGTGTGTGTGTGTGCGCGTGTGTGTGTGTGTGTGTGTGTGTGTGTGTGAGCCGAATTTGGCGCGGTGGTGCCATGCGAAGCCTCCCACTGAAGCAATCGGTGGAACTCCCTGTGGACCCACGGGACGAATGAGGGATGTGCCGAACTAGGCGCGGCGGTGTCATACGAACCCTCCGACTGGAGCCTGCGGTGGAACTCTCAATGGAGCCGCGAACCGTGTGAGGGTTATGCCGAATTGGGTGCAGTGGTGCCAGGCGAACCCTTCCACTGGAGCAGGAGCCTTCGGTGGAGCTCCCTGTGGGGTCACGGCACGTGTGAGGGGCGTCCCAAAATAATGAACACGCGGAAGGCAGTGGCACGGATGCTAGGAGGAGGGAGTAGGAGAGGAGATGGGACACGGGGCGCTGTCTCTTCAAAACGAAGGCCCAACACCACAGGATGGTTGGGAAATTTGCATGACGAAGGACCTAACCATATGTAACTGCGAATACCGCACTGAAGCTAGCGCTTTCGGTGGAGCCCCGGACCGCGAACTGCGTGAGGTTGTGCCGAAAAGGGCGAGCTAATGTCATGCATGTCATGCGAACCCTCCCACTGGAACCTTCGATGGAACTCCCAATGGGGCCACGAACCGTGTGAGTGGCACGCCGAATTGGGCGCGGTGGTGCAATGCGAATCCTCTCACTGAAGCAATCGGTGGAGCTCCCTATGGGGCCACGGAGCGTGTGAGGGGTGTGCCGGATGGGGTGCGGTGGTGCCATGCGAACCCTCCCACTGAAGCATTCGGTGGAGCTCCCTATGGAGCCACGGAGCGTGTGAGGGGTGTGACACATTGGGCGCGGAAGTGTCCTGCGAACCCTCCAACTGAAACCGTCGGTGGACCTCCCCTCTGGGGACACGAACCGTGCGAAAGGTGTGCCGAAATGGGCGCGGTGGTGCCATCCGAACCCTTCCACTGGAGCCTGGGGTGGAGCTCTCTCTGGGGCACAACGGTGCCATGCGAACCCTCCCACTGGAGCCTTCTGTGGAACCCCCTGTGGGGCCACGAACCGTGTAAGGGGTGTCTCGAATTGGGCGCGGTGGTGCCATGCTAACCCTCCCACTGAAGCATTCGGTGGAGCTCCCTATGGGGCCACGAAGCGTGTGAGGGGTGTGCCAAATTGGGCGCGGTGGTGCCATGCGAACCCTCCCACTGAAACCTTCGGTGGAACTCTCCCTGGGGACACGAACCGTGTGAAAAGTGTACAGAAATAGGAGCGGTGGTGCAATGGGAACCCTCCCACTGGAGCCTTCCGTGGAGCTCTCTCTGGGGCCACGAGCCGTGTGAGAGAGTGCCGAATTGGGCGCGGTGGTGCCATGCGAACCCTCCCACTGAAGCCTTCGGTGGAGCGTGTGGGGTCACGAAACGTGTGAAACATGTGCCGAATTGGGCGCGGTGGTGCCATGCGAACCCTCCGACTGAGATCTTCCGTGGAACTCCCTCTGGGGCCACGAACCGTGTGAGTGGTTTGCCGACTTGGGTGCGGTGGTGCCACGCGAACACTCCCTTGGGAAACTTCGGTGGAGCTCCCTCTGGGGCCACGAACCGTGTGAGAGGTGTGCCGAACTGGGTGCGGTGGTGCCAGGCGAACACTCCCACTGAAGCCTTCGGTGGAGATGGGGCCACGAAATCTGTGAGGGGCGTCCCAAAACGGTGGACATGCGGAGGGTTGAGGCACGGATGGGAGGAGGGAGGAGGGAGGAGGGGGAGGAAGGAGAAACGCGGGGCGCTGTCTCTTCACAATGAGGACCCAACAACACAGGATGATTGGGAAACACGACCCAGGATGGTACCCCTGAAACCGGCAATGCTCTCTCGCTTTGGATGTTCATCGCTTGGAATAGCTCCCCAGACGGCGCGGGTATTCTTCGCATCTGGCCGCTGCTTCTCCTGCGCCGCTTTCCACCGCATCGTCACTCCCATCGCTGCGGCCTCCGCCTCATTCTCCCCCTCCTCCTCCTCCCCCTCCCCCTCCCCCTCCTCCTCCTCCTCCTCCTCCTCCTCCTCCGCCTCCTCCTCCGCCTCCTCCGCCTCAGCCTCCGCCTCCTCCTCCGCCTCCGCCTCCGCCTCCGCCTCCGCCTCCTCTTCCGCCTCCTCCTCCTCCTCCTCCTCCTCCTCCTCCTCCTCCCTTCCCCCCCTCCCCGCGCCCTCTGCCTCCCCGCGCGGGCGGGGGTCGCAAGCCTCAGCAGCTGCAGGGCGAGGTCCCACCTCCGGGGGGGGGGGGCGCCGAAGAGACCCACGCTGACCAGCCCGACATCTCGTGCATCTCTCGGGCGCGCCCTAACCGACCCCTACAAGCCTCGGAAACATGATCGACCCACGAACCCGGAAAGGAATATATAAATGTAAGGAATGGCATCGTTTCAAAGGCACCTGAGTGGGCGACGGGCAAATGCAATGCTAAATGTATCGATCTTGATGTACTGTGCCGAGAGCTGTGCTGTGCTACGCCGTGCTGAACTGCGATGTGCCATGCCGCGATTGTGCTCTATACACATATATATAGCGTTGTGGATCGAGTCCTCGTTGCCACCGAGTCCTGACCGAACTGATCTGGATCTTAAGCTCGAGTTGCCTGAGCAGATGGTAGCTGCCCCAGAGCTAATCGACAGACGTGACATGCCAGGAGGACGCGCCGCGGAACGTCCCAAGGAACGCGCCAGGCGACGTGCCAGGGAACGTGCCATGGGCACGCACCGCGGGACGTGCGAAGGGGGCGCGCTACGGAACGTGCCAATGGACGTGCCGCGGAACGTGCCAGGCGACGCGCCGCGCGACGTGCCAGGTAGACTCGCCACGGAACGCGCCCAGGCGCCGAATTTCAGAAATGTGGCAATTCCCTTGTGTTTTTGGACCCTGACCCCGCCGATCTACGTGAGACGTACCAATGTTTACCCACCCCAGCAATTCAGACAACACGCTCAAGGCGTTGTAACATGATCGACCCACGAACCCGGAAAGGAATATAGAAATGTAACGCATGGCAGCGTCTTCAAAGACACCTGATTGGGTGACGGGCAAGTGCAATGCTGATCGTATCGATCTTGATGTACGGTGCCGAGGGCTGTGCTGTGCTGCACCGTGCTGAACTGCGATGTGCCATGCTGCGATTGTGCTCTATAGCGTCGTGGATCGAGTCCTCCTTTGCATCCGAGTCCTGACCGAACTGATCTGGATCTTAAGCTCGAGCTGCCTGAACACATAGTAGCTGCCCCAGAGCTAATTGACAGGGGACATGCCAGGAGGACGCGCCGCGAAACGTCCCAAGGGACGCGCCAGGCGACGTGCCAGGGGACGTGCCATGGGGTCGCACCGTAGGACGTGCCAAAGGGACGCGCTACGGAACGTGCCAATGGATGTGCCACGGAATGTGCCAGGGGACGCGCCACGCGACGTGCCAGGGGGACTCGCCAAGGTACGCCCCACGGAACGTGCCAAGGAACGTGCCAAATTGCAATGCTGATTGTATCGATCTTGATGTACCGTGCCGAAGTCTGTGCTGTGCTGCACCGTGCTGAATTGTGATGTGCCATGCCGCGGGTGTGCTCTAGAGCGTCGTGGATCGAGTCCTCCTTTGCATCCGAGTCCTGACCGAACTGATCTGGATCTTAAGCTCGAGCTGCCTGAACACATAGTAGCTGCCGCAGAGCTAATTGACAGACGTACATGCCAGGAGGACGCGCCGCGGAACGTCTCAAGGGACGCGCCAGGCGACGTGCCAATGGACGTGCCACGAAGACGCACCGCGGGACGTGCCGAGGGGACGCGATCCGGAACGTGCCAATGCACGTGCCACGGGACGTGCCAGGGGACGCGCCGCGCGACGTGCCAGGGGGACACGCCACGGGACGCGCCACGGAACGTGCCAGGTTGTAATGCTGATTGTATCGATCTTGATGTACGAGGGCTGTGCTGTGCTGCGCTTTGCTGAACTGCGATGTGCCATGCTGCGATTGTGCTCTATAGCGTTGTGGATCGAGTCCTCCTTTGCATCCGAGTCCTGACCGAACTGATCTGGATCTTAAGCTCGAGCTGCCTCAGCACATAGTAGCTGCCACAGAGCTAATTGACAGGGGAACATGCCAGGAGGATGCGCCGCGGAACGTCCTAAGGGACGCGCCAGGCGACGTGCCAGGGGACGTGCCACGGGGACGCACCGCGGGACGTGCCGAGGGGACGCGCTACGGAACGTTAAAATGCGTGGTCCTTGCTCGGGGCAACCATGTTAGACATCCCCCTGGATGGCCTGGACACTTAATTACCTGCGCCCGCGCTCCCAGGGCCACGATCCCTCGTAAATTACGCTGCGCCCGCGCTCCCAGGGCCGCGATCCCTGTAAATTACACTGCGTCCGCGCTCCCAGGGCTACGATCCCCTGTAAATTACACTACACCCGCGCTCCCAGGGCCACGATCCCTCGTACATTACGCTACGTCAGCGCTCCCAGGGCCACGATCCCTCGTAAGGGCTCCTGGGCCCTCCTGGGTCTTCCTTGGACCTCTTGGGCCCTCCTGGGCTCTCCTGGAGACTCCTGGAGCTTCTCCTGGCCCTCCTTGGGCCCCCTGGTGCCACTTGGAGCCTCCTGGGTTCTCCTGGGCCCTCCTGGGCTCTCCTGGGCCCTCCTGGGCTCTCCTGGGCTCTCCTGGAGCCTCCTGGGCCCTCCTGGGCGAAGTCAAGGTCCGAAAACACATGGGACTTGCCACATTTCTGAAATTCGGTGCCACCCCTCACGCAGGTCGGCGGGGTCAGGATCCGAAAACACATGGGATTTGCCACATTTCTGGAATTCCGTATCACCCCTCACGCAGATCGGCGGGGTCAGGGTCCAAAAACACAAAGGATTTGCCACATTTCTGGACTTCCGCGCCACCCCTCACGCAGATCGGCGGGGTCAGGGTCCAAAAACACAGGGGATTTGACACATTTCGGGCATTCCGTGCCACACCTCACGCAGATCGGCGGGGTCAGGGTCCAAAAACACAAGGGATTTCTGCTATTTCCGAACTTATGCAACTTCAAGAATCCAAAACTCTGTTCCCAGCGCCGTTCCGGAGGCCGCGGTACCTAGTTATTTATCGAGCGAACGCGTTTACCTTGTTTTTTATCGTTTAAAGTCGATGTCGGAAAAAGTCGACTTCACCTGTGAAATATCGAGGTTTCCTTAAAGGCAGTAAAATTCCAAGAGCACGATCTGCGTGAGGGGTGGCGAAAAATGGCCTTCGTCCTCACAGTTGAAATCCGCCGGCCCCCTTCGACCTCGTAATTTATCGCACAAGAATTCCGCCGGCCCCCTTCAAGTAAAAACCGGGGGGAAGACTATCTAAAAGAGAACCCTGGGCTCGAGCCCTTTCCGGGAAAAATGCTTGTTTTGGGCCTCCCCCCCTCGCGCGGTCCATCAACAAGGAACAGTAAGCAGCAAGAGGCAGAACTGTAACAGTGGAAACTGGAAGCTGCAAAGAAGCAGAACTGTAACAGTGGAAACTGGAAGCTGCAACTGGTACAGGAAACTGCGAACCTTCGTCCCACAGCCTGGTGGCCCCACAAGGGGGCCGGCGGATATGAATTGCCCTCCTCTAACACCCTCCCGCTAGCCCTTCCGCCCCATGTCTCTCTTCACAATCCAGCATGAATCTACAACGATAACAAGAACAAAAACAGACTGGTCCGACTGGTCCGCCCGAAACCGTCAGACCGCACACAGCATGGAAGGGCGCAGCGACGCAGCAACGGACGCAACAACGGATCAAGCCGAACCAACCGAACGCAACCGACTGCGACGTAACCGATCCGAACGAACCGCGGACACCTTTGGGATCCACTTCCGACCTGCCCGAAGCTTGAAATTGCCAAGAGACACCCGAGTCAGAACATCAATCGCCGCCTCTTGCCGCGGCGGCACGCGTTGATGGCAGCGTTGTACATCTCCGTGTTTCTGCGCGAGCGCGCGCGCGCGGGCAGCGTCCCAGAGAACATTGAAATTGCGATGTGCGATGCGCGGTGCGGGCCCCATGCTGCTATAGTTCAGCGATCTGGCATCCGAGTCACGATGAGGACCTGAGAGGCCCAGATTCCTAAACTGAAGGCCTTCAGCAGAAGGATGGAAGGGGAAATCTCCTCATCCTCCTCCTGTTTCTCGCTCCCTGCTCTTCCTCCCTCCTCGACGTCATCCCCCTTCCTGCGCTGCTCACATATCTTGCCCAGGGCCGGCTGGTCGCCGCGCCTCCCCCCATGCGAAGAGCATCCCACACTCCGAGGTGGCAACTGGCTGTCCGCGCCAACGCCCGGTACCTCACGCGAGCAACCAGAGGCCGCACGAGGACACCCAGATCGTGGCGCAGCAGAGGCAGCACGAAGAGCTCCGTGAACGAGGAGCTCAGTACCGACGACGAGGAGCTCAGTACCGACGACGAGCAGAGGGGGCATCCTGGCGATGCCCCAGCAAGTCTTGCCTGCAGCGAGGGCTAACAGGGGCCTCCGAGATGGGGTCGGAGGATCGCGCCGCATCGGCGATACATCGGCGACGTCGGCGATGCATCGTTCACGTCGGCGTAAAAGAAATCGGCCTCCGCATCGAGCCGCATCGGCGATGCATCGTCGATGCGGCGCGATCCTCCGACCCCATCTACTTAGACCCCATCTAGGAGGCCTAGAGCGCCAAGCAGCCAACGATAGTCACGACGACGCCGCGGGCCATCCTAGCGGCACTCGGGGCTGGGGTCGCGGCGCTGGCGGGGGGCGGGGGGCAGTGGGGCCGAGCCTGGCCGGAGCCAGAGCGGGGCAAGCACTGCAGACGCGAAGCTAGCAGCGTCATCATCCTCGGGGGCCTCCCGCGGGGGGGGGGAAGGGGGATTGGCGACTCTGCGAGGGTGCCTCGAGCGGGAGCCCCAGATCGAGACACGCCCGGGTCGACTCTTGCGAGGATGTCTCGAGCGACAGCCCCGGACTGGGACACGCCCTGGCGCGCCCCAGCGCGCGCCGGCAGATCCCCCGAAATGGCCCCGCGCGGTGGGTACTCTCTCGCGCGCTGGGGGTCGACAGTGAGAGGATGTCTCGCGCGAGAGCCCCGGGCTGGGGCGCGCCCTGGAGCCTTCCGCGCGCGCCCGGGGCCGACTTTGGGAGGATGTCTCGAGCGAGAGCCCCGGGCTGGGACACACCTGGTGCGCCCCGGCGCCCGTCCGAGGGCCTCCTTCGGAGAGGCTCGGGGGGCCGGTTTGTTGAGGATGTCCCACGCGACGACGCCGCCAATTGGAACTCGCCGCCGGACTTCCGAGATTTTCCGGAAACGACAAGGGAGCCTCTAGAGTCTAGAGGCTTTCTTGAGGAAGCTTCGGGAAGCCGGTTTTCTGAGCATGTCCCACGCAAGGGCGCTCGTTTGGAATTCGTCGGGGACCCTCTGAGGGCCTCCTTGGGGAGGCTCGGAAAGCCGGTTCTCTGAGGATGTCCCAAACGAGGGCGCCGGCTTGGAATTCTTCGCCAGATGTCCCGAAGTTCCCAAGTTTCCCAGACCTCAAACAGGGGGGGACGGCTGGCGGGCCCCTTCCCTCGCGCGCTGGGGGGTCAGGACGACGAGAGCTCGCAAGACAAACCCCCTCAAACGACCACCGTCCGGGGCCGCGACCAACTCCCAACCCTGGCTCAACCCAAATCCAGCCTTGCAGAACCCTGATCCGGCGCCCTGGCTGCCCCCGTTGACGCTGAGCCCCGTCACGTGAGCCCCGGCTGACGTTGCCCCCGAAGGGCCTCTGGGCCATTTGGACACTATGCCGCCCAACAGCGAATGTTGTCCAAAACCGGCAGCGGCCGCTGTTGGGCAGGCGGCCTCCTGCCTCAAAGGAACCACACCCGCCAAGACACGGACAGCGAGTCCTGCTCAAAATGATCTCACCAAGATGTGCTGTCAGGAATCGCTGTTTTCTCAATGCAGTGTGAGTTCTTGGTACAGAAGGCCGGCCCACAAAGCTGGCACCTGGGACTTGCACCTGCCACCTCTCCTCTGAGCCACAAAGGCTACCGACAACATGATAACAACTGGAAACGACACGGCCGTTTTTTTACCGGTTCCGTTTTGCCGTTGTTTTGCTGGTTTCGACGCCGCTTTTTTACCGGTTCCGTCGCCGTTTTTTGACCGGTTCCGGCTCCGGGTCCAATCCTGGAGCCGTCATTTTGCCGTTTCTGGTCGCCGTTTTTTGCCGTTTCCATTTTTAAAAGACATTTTTCGGAATCGGTGAAAACACGGCCCTGCCGCTTCCGGGGCCCACAAAGGGCCTACCCACCCACCCCGTGCTATCACAAATCCGACCTGGCATACCAGCCAGGACACGGACAGGGAGTCCTGCTCAAAATGATCAGGAAACGCCGTCGGTCTTTCTTCCCACTCGCTCCGTGCCCATGCCGCTCGCGCCCCCGAAGGACCCCCCAGGGAGAGCCAAGAGCATCCCCGCGCCCAGAGAGGAGCGGCTGTACACCGCCCCCCTGGCGCGCGGGTCCTCGGGGCGCCCTGGAGGTTCAGGGTGTCCTGGGTGTCGGGGGCTGCTGGGTGGGGGATCCAGGATCGAGGAGGAGGAGGAGGAGGAAGAGGAGGAGGATCGAGGATCGAGGAAGAAGATCGAGGAGGAGGAGGCTGACCGGGGACGAAGGGAGACTGGGAGGAATGATCGAGAAGGGCAGAGGAGTAGATGGAGAAGGATCGGGGAGGGAGGAGGTTTGAGGGCCAGTGTAGGCCCAAGAGTCATCAACGATGTTGGAATGAACCCTCTCTCCAAGCTCCCTCTTCACAGACCCCATACAACGGTTCACTTCCACTGAAGGAACTGCCTCGTTGGAAGACAACCATTTGAATATCCTGAAGCGTGCCAAAACATTGTTCTCGGAATTCCAACGCCACGGATGAACCTGGCTGCTGCGTCTTGACGATCCAGACTCGTGCCAGAACGTCAACTGTGGGACTTCCACACCCGAAATCAACATAACTTCTGCGCCCACGTAATCCGGAATCTTTCAAAAACACCATTTCTGGTACGCAAATCATGAGCATTCGTGGAACAACTGCAAATTCTGAAAACGAATTTCTGCGGCGCTAAAGCGAGAATCACATTTTGAGAAAGGGGCCGCCCTCAATCCGTGAAGCTCCTGCAAATGTCAAAAAAAAAATGCGCGCGGCGCTAACGCGAGAACCGCATTCTGAAAAGGAAGCGCCATAAATCCGTGAAATTCTTTACTTGTTTAAATAGAATGTGCGCGACGCTAAGGTGAGAGCTACATGTTGAAAACGACCCGCCCTCAATCCGTGAAGCTCTTGCAAACATTGAAACAGAATGTGCGCCGCGCTAATGTGGCGAGGGCTCCATTTTGAAAACCACCCGCCCTCAATCCGTGAAGCTTCGTAAATTTATAAAACGAATGTGCGCCGCACTAAAACGAGAGCCACATTTTCAAAACCACCCGTCCTCAATCCGTGAAACTCTTGTACAAGTTGAAAACGAATGTGCGCGGCGCCAAAGCGAGAGCTACATTTTTGAAAACCACACGCCCTCACTGCGAAAATCTCTTGCACATTTTGAAGACGAATGTTCGCAGTGCGAAGGCGAGAGCCACATTTTGAAAGCGACCCGCCCTCCATGTGTGAACCTGCTGCTACTTCTGAGCTTCAGAATCGTAAGTGGTGACGGTGCCTCAGGCGAAACGCCCGGCTCGCCCTAAAAACTGGCATCGGGGTGCGATAGGGAAAAGTTATCTGCATGGAGAAGGATTGGAAAAAGGAGGGTCGAGGATAGGGAGGGGAATCGAGGGAGCAGGACATTCGAGCAGGACATTCGAGGAGGATGGGGGGTGATGATGATGATGATGAGGAGGAGGAGGAGGAGGAGGACCCGTGCAACCCCAAGAAGCCTCAATGATGTTGGAATGGACCCTCCCTCCAAACTATCTCTTCATAGACCCATACAACGGTTCATGTCCATTGAGGGAACTGCCCCGTTGGAAGACAAACGTTCGAAGATCCCGAATCGTGCCAAAACATTGATCTCGGAATTCCAACGCCACGGATCAACCTCACTGCTGCGTCTTGGCAACCATGAGCCGTGTCAGAAAGCCATTCCTGGGACCTCAACACAGCGAGTTAACATAACTGTTGCACCCGCGTAATCCTGAATCCTTTCAAAACACCCATTCTGACACGTTGATTATGGGAGTCCGTGATGCTCTTGCAACGGTTGTAAGCGAATGTGCGCGGCGCCAAAGCGAGAACCACACTTTGTGCGCCGCGCTAGGGCGGGAACCACATGTTGGAAACAACCCGCCCTCAATCCGTGAAACTCTTGCAACATCTTAAAACAAATGTGTGCGAGAGCCACATTTTGAAAAAGAGCCGCCCTCAATATGTGAACCTCTTGCAAATGTTTTAAACGAATGTGCGCCACGCTAAAGATAGAACCACATTTTGAAAACCACCCGCCATTAATCCTTGAAACTCTTTCGAACTGTCAGAAATAATGTGCGCCGCGCCAACGCGAGAACCACATTTTGAAAAGAAACCGCCCTCAATCCGCGAAGCTCTTGCAAATGTTGAACTAGAACCATCGCGCGCTTCGCGCGCGCTCAAGTTCTAGCTAGCTTATTGGGGCCTCCTCGGAGCATCCTAGTCGTCATGGGACCTTCTTGGCATGTCTTCGGGGGCCTCTTAGAAAGAGTTTTGAAGCCTTTGGGGTGCCGTCTTGGGGCCTCTTGGAGCCTATTTGGGGCTTCTTGGGGGCCTCTTGGGGGCCTCTTCGGGCCCCTTTGGGGCCTCTTAGGGCCTCTTGGGGGCTTCCTGGGGGCATCTTGGGGCCTCTTGTGGGCATCTTGGGGCGGAGAGCTTGAGTTTTCAGTTCGCGTTCCCTCTCTTGGGCCCCTCTTGGGGCCTTCTTGGGACCCTCTTGCGCCGTCTTGGGCGGCTCTGGGGCCGTCTCGGGGCTCTCTCGGGCCGTCTTGGGGCCCTCTTGGGAGCCTCTTGGGCCGTCTTGGAACGGTTTGGGGAGCCTCTTGGGCGGCACTTTAGCGCCGGAAACACGAAACAGCGATAATGCAACACAAACATTGAAAAATCAAAAAAAATGTAAATCAACGATTTTGCCCCTCTCGGGGCGCTCTTCGGCGGCGTCTTAAAGACCTCTTGGGGCGTCTTGGGGGCCTCTGGGGCAATTCAAACGCATCGTGCGTCGACGGAGACTCCTGGACGTCGTCTTGGGGGCGTCTCGAGACCGCCAGGGGCCGCCGGGATTGCTGTCTGAGGGCTTCCCGGGGCGATTCGAAGCCTCCCACAGGCGGGCGAGGGCCCCGGGCCACACATTTGTGGTCGGGGTCCCGGCCCCCGGCCCCCGGTGTATGTATAAGCGAATGTGCGCAGCGCCAAAGCGAGAGCCACATGTTGAAAACCAACCGCCCTCCATATGTGAAGTTTCTGCTGATGTTTTAGTTCCAGAGTCATGAATGGTGGGGTGAGGAAGTCTCAGGCGAAACGGCCGACGCGCCCTAACAACTTGCCTCGGGGTGTGACAGGGAGAATTGATTGATAAGGCGACGGGACGTAGGAGGAGGGCATCGATGGTGGAGGAGGGAGGAGGGAGGAGGTGTCCAAGAGGACCTCATCCTCATCCTCCGAATCCTCCTCCTCCTCCTTCTCCTCCGTATGTCGGAAATTGGTTGCCAGAAGCGATCCTGCCTCAAGGGACCCCGAACTGTTCCTTCCATGCTGGAGACCGCGGGGCCCTCTGGGCCTCCTGAGGTGTAATCTGGGGGCCGTGTGGCCCCCCCGTGGAACTCCTGGGAGCACCTTGGTGCCAGGCACACCCCTGGCAACAGCCCGAGGGTCGAGCGTCGCGGGCCCGCACGTGGCCCCTTCCTCTCAGGAGGGTCGACGTCGTCGTCCTCGTTTCGCCTTTCCTCCATTCCCCCCTTTCCTTCTCGCGTTTCTCCCCCTCGTTCCTTTCCCGTCCTCGTCCTCCGACTCCCTCCTCTACTTTCCATATCTGCTCCCGTCCTCGGCCATTTTCTTTTTGCTCCGTCAGCATCTGGTCGTCGTCGTCGTCCTCCTCCTCCTCCTCCTCCTCCTCCTCCTCCGCCTCGTCCTCCTCCGCCTCGTCCTCCTCCTCCTCCCTTCCTCCTCCTCCTCCTCTTCCTCCCTCCTCCTCCTCTTCCTCCTCCTCCTCTTCCCTCTCTCCTCTCTCCTCTCATTCCTCTCTCCTCTCATAATTCCTCCTCCTCCTTCTCCGCGTCCTCCCCCTCCTCCTCCTTCCTCCTCCTCCTCCTCCTCTTCCTCCTCCTCCTCCTCCTCCTCCTCCTCTTCCTCCTCCTCCTCTTCCCCCTCTCTCCTCTCTCCTCTCTTTCCTCTCTCCTCTCATAATTCCTCCTTCTCCTCCTTCTCCGCGTCCTCCCCCTCCTCCTCGTCCTCCTCCTCCTCCTGAATTGATTCCTCCTCATCATCCAGCGCGTGTGGGGGAAGAGGCGTAGCAGTAGCAGGGATGAGGGGGACAATGGAGGAGGAGGACCAGGAGAAGAGAGGGCTCTCCGCGGCCCCGCATGCACGGATGTCCGCGGTCAAACGCAGGCCAGCGGAAACCGACAGCGTACGAGTACAGATGCTGATGTCATCTGGGTTTGGACGTGTGGGGAGGAGGAAGGGAGGGAGGAAGGGGCGGAAGGAGAGGCGGGAGGATGGGGTGAGCGATGTCGGCTGGGATGTCAATCACGACGTTGTCAATGAATCCACCTCTGGGGCAAGCTGGGCTCTGTCCCTCGCAGCTCGCGGGGCAACTTGAGAAGGCTGGGGGAGAAGGGAGGAGAGAAGGGTGCTTCACTGTATTGGACGCCGAAGGAATTTAAAACGTGTTTGCTCTTGTCCCTCACCGTGCCCCCTGGCACGTTGAGGCGTGGAAGACTGCCAAGGCCTGCCTGGTAGGGCCTTCGAGTTCTATTAAGGGACGCCCACTCCCCTCTGCCCGCAGACTGCCGCATGCATCGCCAATCCTCTCCGAGGACACTTCCCTCGTGTCCGCTCGAGGGTGGTGCATTTCCAGCATGGCAGCGCGTGCCAAATCCCCCATTCAACACGTGTCCGCTCGAGGACGGTGGACTTCCCGCATGGCAGCGAACGTCTGAACCCGTAGTCCATGCGCGCCAGCTCGAGGACGGTGCACTCCCGCATGGCAGCTAATGCCTGAACTGGTAGTCCATGCGCGCCCACTAATGCCTGAACCTCCCTTCCGCGCGTGCCCGCTCGAGGATTACGCACTTCCCGCATAGCTGCTACCTCCTAGACCCCTCATCCCACGCGAGCCCGCTCGGGAATTGCACGTCCCGCATTCCCAAGCGCTGCGTCCAATCGCTCCAAGGCCTCCCACGCAACGTTCCCACGCCAGAAACGATGGATACGCGTCCCGCGCCCAAGACGGCCCGTGCAAGCAACCAAGGACATCACGATGGCTCAAGACGCTTCGAAGACAGCCCCCAAGATGGCACCAAGGCGGCCGCAGATGGGTT